TAGGAATTAATAACTTGGATCATTTAAAAAATTCCGTCAAAATCTCACATGGTTGGCCCCTTTATTTCTTAATAAAAATAAAATAAAATATTAATAGTACATAATAACTATCAAGACAACGAGCCTTTGAAATTAATCAAGTGAGAGATCTCCTTTGTTCTACATCAATTACAACAGAGTTCTTAGATCTTCGATAATCCACAATGAAGTGGCAAAACCAAAATAATTTCGTTCTTTATCATGCAAAAGGAAATGTAAATTCAAAAAATAAGGATCAGTTGAGCGTTCGAAAGGAAAACTTGTCTAGCGTAGTTGTCCTAAATAATCATATGTTAAGTACTTTTTTGAGAGATTAATTTATAAAATAAAAATCCTCAAATATGCATTGAGATCTACGTGAGCGTGGAAAAATAGTAGCATATTAGTAATGAAAATAATTGAGTTTCTTATATATACTTATAACTGTCCTCGTGCATTGGCTTAAGTTTTTAGATTCATAGGTGCCCATCTATGAACAGATTGTGCTTAACTTAGGTTGTTCCATCCTCTTCAGATTTGGCATTAGAGCTGATGTTTTGGTTGTGAGGTTTTTCATGTAGTGTATGGGTCTCAAAGGTCTTGGTTGTTTCCATCTAGGGCTGCAAATGAACCAAGCCGAGCCGAGCTTTAGCTTGTTCGATTTCAAGCTCACTTGCTAGGCACGTGTTCGAGCTCGGTTCGGTAAGCAACGAACATTTTGAACATTTGTTCGAACTCGAGCTCATTTAAAAAAATCATGCTCAAGCTCGGTTCATGTTAATAATTTGGCTCATTTACTAAACCTTATCGAGCCGCTCATTAAGGATAACTCGAGCAGGCTCGCGAACAAGAAGCTGTTGAACCTTCCCACTCCCCCGCCCTCCCGCCTCCGCTCCACCTCCAATGGATAACTCGAGCAGGCTCGCGAACAAGAAGCTGTTGAACCTTCCCACTCCCCCGCCCTCCCGCCTCCGCTCCAGCTCAAATGGATGTTTTGTTGTTCCATTTTATAGAGTGAAATAAATAATATTTTTGCGGTGTGGGACTAACGTATGAATAGGAGCGGGCGGTAGAATAGGCGTGGGCAGGATAACGTGAGCGGGAATTTTTTTTTTGGAAAATGTGGGAGCGGGAGAACTATTTTGGAAATGTAAGCATAAACAAACCAATTAATATTTATTTTTAAATGTGAGCCGAGCTATTGGAGATGTAAGCAGGTTTTTTTAATTATATTTTTTGTTTTAAAATTAGTAAATTCAATTAATTAAATTAGTAAATATAACTTATTAAATTAATAATTATTATTTTTTAAAATCTAATCGAGCTTATTAACGAGCATATTCACGAAATTTAAACGATACTGTTCGTGAACATAAACGAGCCGAACGCTAGGTTGTTCAAGATTGTTTATTTAGCTATTGAGTATTGTAAAATTTGTTCAAGCTTGTTCATTTACCTTATCAAACGAACATAAACGAGATCTTATCAAGCCGAGCCACGAGTAGCTCAACGAACGCTCGGTTCACTTGCATCCCTATTTCCATCATGCTCTAGCAAAGCTCAAGTGGTTAATTCACACACTATCTCCACGTGAATGAGTTTGCTTAATGCATGAAACATAACAATATCAATTTTTTTTAAAGGGGAGTAGCTCCAGTGTGGATCACTCATGTGAGAAGCAATCCGTGATTTTTATATATTTCCCATTATAATTAATTAGATGGTTATATTAATTAATGCTTTCATGATAATATGGTTACCTACAAAAGTATTTGGGTTCAAGGGATCTATATACTAGTTCTAACTTTTTTTTTTTTTCAATTCAGCCCCTCAAACATTTTTGTTACCAAAATATTTGGAATATTCTTTTGTTCAAATACATTTCCAAAACATAGAATAATTTGATCCATGCGCAATTAAATGTCTTAATTAGCTATTCTTCTATAAAAAAGGATACAAATACTACTAACCATTAAAAAATCATTCTTATTAATCATCAATCTTCCCCATTGATGCATTAAGAAATAAAAGTTGGAATAATGCTATGAAAGAGGAAATCTTAGTTCTTTAAAATAATTAATATATATGATTTTGTATAATTATTTAAATAAAAGGATCTATTGGGATGTAGATGTATTTTTACTTTACAGTACAAATCTGATGGTTTATTAGAAAGATATAAAATAAAATTAGTTGCTTAAGGCTGCAGTCAAGTGTATTTGATTGATTGTCTTGTAACTCTTACTCTGGTTCTTAAAATAACAAATAAACATTATTAGAGTTTTTTTTTTTCATTAGCAGCTACTATGGACTAAAACCATATAAGAATTGGATGTTAAGAATGCCTTCTTACATAATAGCCTATAGGAGGAAGTGTATGTAGAGGTATCACTATGATTTGATTCAAATATAGAACAAAAGGTGTGTAAAGTCAAAAAAAGCAATATATGGGCTAAAACAATCTCCATGAGCCTAGTATGGAAGTTTAACCATGCTAGTTCAGAAGAATATTGAAGCATTACCTTATTAATTACTTAGCTTTATTTGATGTCCACTGATTTGCTCCATAATCATCGAAATATCAACCGCTGAAATAATTAGTACAGCAACATGAACATGATTTAAATGTCAGCATTCATGAGAATATTATATTTTCTTAATATAATAATTAAAAAATTATTTTTGTGAACAATTTATTTCATATGAATTCAAATAACTTTTTATAGAAGCCTGTAGAAATGATCTTCAAATAAAGAAGTATTATTCCCTAGTAAATAAACAAATTTTCTAAAATTCATACAAGAAGAAGAAGAAGAAGTTTTTATTCCACTACGTGGTATCGACTATATGAATCCTTTTTATTCATTGTATTATTATAAATCAAATTCTCATTTAAATTTAAAAAATAAATTATTTTTAATACTTTATAATCTAGTCTTTTTAGGTCTGCCTCTATCTTTCTTGATATTGGCCAGATCTAATACATTTATTCTCCTAACTTGGTCATCCAAAGGCCAATGTTTTATGCGACCAAATCATCTAAGGTGACTCTCTCTAATCTTATATGCCTATAATCATTTCACATTTTGTCTCAAAGTATAAAGTCACTCATCTACCTAAGCATCCTCATTAAACAACACTAAACTTAATTTTATGCTTCTCTTTTAATGACCAATATTTTGCGCCATAAAGCATTGCAAGTCTCACTACGATCTTATAATTTTTTTCCTTAAATTTGAGGGGTATTTTTCTATCACAAAATAGACCCGTTGCATTCCTCTAGTTCAACGATCCAACTTGAATTCTACTAATAATATCCCCATCTATTTCTCCATCGCTTTGAGCAATAGATCCAAGATATCTAAAATGTGCTCTCTTTTTAATCACCCAATGTAACTATCCCACCACTAGATATATTATTATTAAAATTACATTTCATGTATTCGGTTTTAGATTCAATCAAATGAAAACCTTTAAACTTTATGATTGACTCAAGTTTTTCATCAACTCGCTATCCAGCCTTATCACAAGAATAATAACATCAGCAAAAAACATACAGCAAGGTACATCTTGCAAATGTTTAGTAAGAACATACTCGATTAAAAGAAAAGATTTTGGCTTAACGCTGATCATTGATGTAATCCAACTGAAATAGGAAAATACTTGGTCAAATCATCTTGTGTTTGAACACTAGTAATGGGTCCTTGATAACTTAAATATAAGTATAATTAACTCCTTTCTTTACTTGAACTCTCCAGAGCTCTTCTTTTTGGAACTTTATCATATGCTTTCTCTAAATCAATAAATATCATATATAGATCCTCCTTACTCTCTTTGTAATTCTCCATTAAATCTCTCAGCAAATTTATAGCTTTCATAGTAGACTACTTGGCATGAATCCAAACTGATATTAATAAACAGTTGTGCCACGTTGTAAGCTATGCTCAATTACTTTGTCCCATAATTTTAATGTATGACATATTAACTTAATTTCTTTATAATTCACACTCTTATGCATTACCTTTGTTCATAAAACTAGGAATCAACATAATTTTTCTCTACTTATTTTGCTTTTTTTTTTCTTGAAAATAATATAAAATATTTTAGTAAGATAAGAAATTCTTGGTTCTCCTAAGCATTTCCACACTTCTATTAAAATATCATTAGGTCTTGCTATTTTTCTATAGTTAATTTTATTTAAAGTCTCTCCAATTTCAGTTTTATTAATACGACGATAAAAATAAAAATCTTTTATTTTATTTTATTTTATTTAGGATGCTAAGATCACTAAAGTCGGTCGTATAAGGTTTATCAAAATATCTTATTCATTTATATTGAATATCCTCTTTTAATAAAATCCCTTTTTGATCTTCATACTTAATGTACTTCACCTTCACTTGTATTAAATACCTAATCTTCCTATCTCTAAGATTCATACAAGTATGAAATTTAATTTTGCATGATTTGAAATTTCTCTGCTCAAAGATAATTAGAAATAAAAAATTTCCATATAAATGGAATCAACACATATAGCGAATCAAAAGGTATGAATAATGAAAGTAAATATAATAAGGAAACAAGTTGAGTTCGCAAGATTATATCTCCCCCTCGGAGCAGAAAACATCCATTTGCGTTAGAGTCACCGTCACTATTATTCTCAAGGTTGTCTCTAATTCAATTTCAAACCTAGCATTTAAGGCAGAAGTTTTGTAGATTCGTTCGACCCTAAAACAAGAAGAAACTCCAATCATAAGAGCAAATTAAATACTTGTCGTTTTGAAAGTGGCAATGTTGGAGAAATTGTTGCAACATTTTTGCTCCAGGCTTTTTAATAGCTTGAGTAGAAGTTATGTAATTAGAGAGCTTGCAAGATCAAGTCATCCATTTTGCGTGGTTCTCTGTAACAAAACCGATGCGCTCTGTTGTTGATCTTAACTTCATATATTTCCAAACTCATAAGTCATAATATTTTTTATGTCCAGGAGCGGAGGTGGCTGTGCTTTGCATAACTAAGTCGAAGGAAGTATTGAATTATCAGGCTTTTACCAACTCTAAAGGTGTTTACAAGGTGGCTGAGACGATGCCTGAGAGTGATCGTTGGGATTCTTGTTTAGCGAGGCCCATCAGCAGCTTCCATCAGCACTGTACTCGGAGGGGTGATACCTATTCTGGGCTCAAGTTCACCTACAATCAACCTTCTGGAAATTCTCATGCCGTCAAGACCTTTCTTTACAAGCCCGTCTCTGCTCCTGCTTACTGCATCTAATGCATCCACCTTCTACAACGGTATTATATTCAAAAATGGATCCCACATCAATATATATATATTTATATAAAATTTATAATTGCATGCTTCAAATAGTAAACTATTTGACTGAGAATGGTGACTGGCAAAGACATTTATATGATACATGAGAATGTTAATGATATCTTTCACTGTACTGCTTGTACATATTTTATGATATTATTCACTGATGTTTTTATCATATTGTAATGCGTCTGATTGTGAGCTTTGAAAAATGAAAAAGGATGGAGACGAGCAACTCTTTTGTTGATTATTGACTAAGTGAGAATTATATTGCCATGAATATTTTTTGTTTATAAATCAAGAAATCAGACGATTGAGATTATTATTTTGAAATTTGCAAATTCAGATGTGATACAATATGTTAGAAATTGGGATGCTTTGGGATGGATGTCTCTATTTTGTGAAATTATTTTGTGCGGTCACCGGATGTTGTTCGGAGGCGAATCAGAGTGTGCCACGCCATTTTTTAGCTGTGTGCCGAGTGATGTGGCGCATCTTGATTCGTCTCTGAATCGTCCGGTGACAGCACAGAATAATCTCTCATCTATTTTAGGGCTGTAGTCAAGGATTACATGCATAAAGGGTTAGGTTTCCTTAGGAATCAGGCCTCAAGGATTTGGACATCCCCTCCTTTGGGCATTTTTCTTCTTGCACTGTAAGAGGGATTCTTTCAGAATGTTTGTTAAGCCATTTGTTTCTTTAAGGATTTGGAAGTGCCCTTTAGGTGTTAAAATTACTTTTGATGTTGGTTTTAGGATATATTTGGGACAGTTATAACGTTTTTTAAATTTGAATGTGAAGTTGATGTGGAGCAAGCAACTTAATTATTATGATTATAAAAAACAGCTTTCAATTATATAAATTTTTAAAAAACAAATAGAAAGCAGTAACTAAATTAAATTATGATTACTATTTGAAAAACAAAGCAGTCAAAAATTTATTGCAAACAGTTACTTAATGTGCATTAAGTGCATTTGAATAGAAGATGATGAGGTAGTTTTTGTGAGTTTTCTTAGGGTTCTTCTTTAAAATAGTGCACCTGTGCTTAAAATATAGAAATGCTAATGAGTTATTTAATTGTGTATATCAATATGTGCATCCGTTGATTATGCATTGAATCTTCTCATCTTTTATGGAGATAAACTTAGTTGAAATTATGTTAAGTGAATTATGTTGTCTTTGATAATTATTGTTTGATTGAGTGGGGTTTATCCCAAAGTTGTGAAGGATGATAAACATAAATTTCAAATATAAAAAACTATTTGTTATTCATTAATCATTTTTTTAATCGTAAGGAAACTTATTTTAAAATATTTTCAAATAATTAAAATTCTAATTAGGATTCTATTATATAAATATATTATAAATTAATTTGTTATAGAACACTCTACCTTTATTCTAGTGGGCTACCATTATTGCTTCCATGTGCCGGAATGGCCGAATAATAATTTTTATTGATTAAAGTTTGTGGGACATCATTAAACAAATAATGGTTTGTAATATCTAATTGTTTGCCATAAACTGTTTTGAGGGTTGCTATGAAGTCTTTATATGGTGTCTAAGGACAAATTTTTGTAGTAGTAAGGAAAATATTTCATGCCACTTCCGGAAATCAGAGAGTAATCCTTTATGTGCCTTTTTCTCCTATATAATTCTATTAATAGCATGTAACCTCTATCCTTTGAATAAAAATGGTTCTACTCTTTTTTTTTTTTTTCTTGGGAAAAATCCACTGAGAGGCCTATGCGTTAATTCAAGAAAAAAAAATTACAAAGTCTTTAAAGGGGACTCAAGCTCACTAATGCTCAGAAGAGCTACAAAAAGAAAGCAAAAAAATTCTAAGAGCTCAGTTCCCTACTAAGGAAAAATACAATCAAACATAGGTACAATCTACGGTGCACAAGAAAGAGAACCCAAAAAGAAGAAAGAATCCAAAAAACTGCATTTAGCACCAGCTTCCCATCCAAAATGGCATCACAACGAACACCTGCACTAAGAACATTCTTCAAAAAAGGATGATGCCCAAGATAGAGAGGCAAAATAAAAACAAAGGCTAGCTGGTTGATAGTTCTAGCATATATTCATAAAACATATAAAAAGGAGGCAAAAAGAGGCTATAACAAGTGCCAAACCACTATCAGCTAAGCAACCAGGATATGCAACATCAACTCCATAATCCTCATAAACAAAGACACAAGAAAAGCTAGAAGGGTCACAACACATGTTCACCTCCAACTTAGCATAGATAGCCCTACCATCAATTAACCAACGATACCATGCACCAATAAACCCAATAGAACAACAATAAGTCTGAAACATTAGAGCAGTAGGAAGAAAGCCAAACCAGCTAAAATAATTAGAAGGGAAGTTGGTGGATATAAGATACCCCACCTGGCAGTCCAAGTTAGAGGCAACCCCAATAGAGCACAAGGGATCCATTGACCCAAATACAGCTCAAAATAACCAGATTACACATCTAGACAGTCAGGCTTAACATCAAGGAATAAACAAGACCCCTAAAAATACTAAGGATAAAGCTACAAAAATGAAAGCCATAAAATCTAGCATCAGCACACACCGAGAGGCTTTAGGAAAAGTTCACCTGCCCCATTAAAAGCAAACAACAACAGAAAATACTGGGCTTCCTAGAGCTGCACAGAGAAACAATCCTAGCACCCAAACAAAAACAGAACAACAAAGAAAAATAAAATATCAGAGAAGCTCTCCATAACACTAACCAAGAGGCAGCCCCCAAACCAACCAAGAAGTTCTAGAAAATGCCCACCATCCAAGCCCCAAAAGTACCCATAAAAACCATAGATAAACAGTGAATTATGGGCAACATAGAGCATCATAGATAAACAGGCAACATAGAGCACCATAGAAAAACATTGTTGGCACCCAAACAAAAATATAACATCAAAAAGTAATAAAACAGCAGAAATAACCTCCAACACACTAATAAGGAAGCAACCCCTAAACCAAAGAAACCAAAAACCACAAGCACCAGCCACCAGCCAGCCTTAAACTCTAACATAGGGTATACCAATTTTTTCAAATCTTACCCTTTTAAAGGGGCAGGGAGGTTAGAAGCAGAAAATTTAGTAAAACCATCCAAACCACACCCCAAGGTAGCAAGCCAGTCGACACAAGCATTCCCCTCCTTATAAACATGAGATAAGGAGAAGTTCATAAAGATCAACCAAAGCTTAATATCCCTCACCAGATAACGAATAGTAGGATAGCAAACAATATCATTAACAATATTTAAATAGTGAATAATATAATTGGAATCAACTTCAATTCCAATATTAGAAATGTCAAGATAAATGCATAATCTAATCCCTCGAAGAATAGCAGAGAGGCCGGCAAGGTTCACATCACAATTGTGTAAGGGACCCGCAAAAGCCATAATAAAACTCCCATGACTGTCCCTAATAACCCCACCACACCCCATGCTGGAACCCATAACAACACCATCCACATTCAGTTTATAAGAGTTATTAGGAGGTTGAGCTAGTAAACAAACCTAGGTTTAGTAGAAGGATGATCATCCTCCAACTTGATACCTAAATCAAACGCCACGAAGAGATAATTCACAATATTTTTTATAGCGAGCAGATTAACAGAAAAAAGCCCTATAACTTTGTCTTTCATATTCTTAATAATCCAATGATGGTTCATTCCAACATAATTAAACATCATAAGGATGGATATTCGATTTATTTATTTATGATCCCACAAATATATGACTCATGTTTGGTTTACTCTTTATTTAATAATTACAAATCTTATATAGTGTGCCATCTAATGTGGTGATTATATCAGTAACTCTTTTGATAAAAAGTGCTATGAATATGATATTGTGTATCAGACCAATTTGGTGCTTAATTCACTTCGAGATGGGCTAAAAAAGTACTTATAAGAAGACTTAAATTCAAATTACTAATATTGTTCGTTTCAAATTTAGTGTACAAATATATCCACTTTCATTTCAAATATTTTTAAGAAAATATTTAGATAACATGTTAAAGAGAGATGATTATTTCAAATTAAAATATGCTAATTTTCTAATTGATTGTATGATCTATATGAAATTGATTAATGTTGGATGATTTTGTTGTAATGACTAATATTTATTAATAAAAACAACTTTAACTTTATATGTTGGTTGATCACATTTTTAATAGTGTTAATGACTATGCATACATTAGAGTTTTACAAGAAAAAAAATGCAAAAACTATGATAAAGTTTGCTCATATTATGAGATCTCATGACTAGAATTTAGAGATAGCTTCAAATTGCGCATCATCAACTCAAAAAAATTTCAACTTTTTTTTAAAGTGATCTTTCTCATTCTTTGACTTTGTTTGGGTCGGCTTTCTTACTACTTCTTAAAGCAGCTTTTTAGCATAAAAATTTTAATTTTTGTACTAGAAAGCTATTTTAAGAAGCAGTACAAAAGTCATCCCAAATGAAGCCTTAGTTTACATTATTTTTATTGCACTCTTATTATATAACTTACAACTATATTGCTCCTTGATTATATACATAATAATTATAGATGTTGCCACTGACTCACCTCAAAAATTCAGAGAGTTTTGATAATATATATATATATATATATATATATATATACATATTATTTTTATTGCTACTAGATTGTTTAGAAGTGGAGGCTTCCTTACACATAGGCTTCGTTTAGGGCGGCTTTTTTTTTTTTTTGTAGAGCTTCTATTTACATATGCCACCATCTTCATTTTTTGATATACTTAATTAATTATGGATATGCTAAGTAGTTGAGTAAATACAATCACTTTGCTTAACTAGTGTACTACTTTGGCTTGTGCATAGTTTTCTTTATATTACCACATATCTTATTTTGAAACAACACACACACACACACACACACACACACACACACACACACACACACACACACACATATATATATATATATATATATATATATATATATATATAATATATATATATATATATATAATATATATATATATATTGGATGTCACACACTCACTCTCTTTCATATTCCATTCAAACACACTTCACACTCCTATCTATCTCTCCCAGCTTGCACTCTCTCTCTCTCTTTCACTCTGGCAACTATAACACACCCTCATAATGTCCACTCTTCTCATTCTCAAACAAAGCTGATCTTCTCTCATGTTAAATCTTTCACTTCTCTCTCTCTCTCTCTCTCTCTCTCTCTCTCTCTCATGCTATCCCCT